GGAGATCGCCAATAAGATGGATCAGGTGAAGGCATTAACAGGCAACCCCCTACGAGAGATCACGACCAGGACGCTGGACAGGAAAGAATAACGCCTCTTTACTAAATAGCTCCGTAAAAAGAGCCATATTTCCTACGGATCACCGATGCCTGTTATAGGGCAACAAGTTAGGAGGAAGATATGTATATATAAAATCTTCGACGAGGATAATTCTCTTGGTTGGATTAATCGCCGATTAAATTAATTCCAGTTTATTCGAAGTCGCTTTAAGCTCTAGAGACTTATTATGTTAATCGTGCGTGACGCTGCTCTTCTTTTTAGCCTTAAAATTACAAATTTACAATATACGTATAAACATGACGAAGGCATATGTCGGTAAAATGTGTGCGTATGTATTGGATGGAACGAATGAAACAAAAAAATCAGAAATTCGGATATAGTACATATGGAAAACTTGTAGCAGAAATCTAGAAGCACTGTACATTTTATTTTAGTAAAATAGTTTTTTCTTTCGTTGTCAACTATAGTTCCATTTATGGATTTAGGGTAGATATCATATTCCATACCATTTTAATCAGATTGGTTCGCTTAATTAATCGCTAAGATTTTTTTCTAATATTATTTATTTATGTTTTAAGAATTAAAAGTTAATTTTTAAATAAATTTTTTATTTTTATGTTTGACCGTAAGAGCTATTTTAAGTCGGTAGCGCACAGCGATTTTACAATTTTTAAGCATTTGTGTTAATTACTATAACTGTTTTGTGTGTGTGTGTGTGTTCTATATTTTTATTTAAATTATAGTAAAGAAATATTCTCTTTAAATTAACATGATCTCTTACGTCATTACAACTTTTCCCTCAAAATTAATAATTTTTATGTTATTTTGAGCTCTCTCCAAAGTATATTAATTTTACATGAATAAAATATGCAGCAATTAGACGATTTTTTTTTTGTTTAAAACAGTTGCGTGCCGTCACACAGCAATAAAAGCAGTAACTGTTATAAAGCCCGATCTACAATTGCGTAAACGTAGACGTAAGGTTAAGAGAGTAGTAGCAGCAGTAAATGTACAACATGTTAATCTACAATCGAGTAAAGATTCAACGAACTTTCATCTTCAAATTGCTCACAATACTTTCTTCGTGTTTCATACTCGTAACATAATATATTTATAATATAATAAACTCGTCAAATAATATATCATAAAATGAACTCAATAAAAGATAAAAAGAATACTTTGCACTTCTTTCCATACGTCGAGACAAAAAGGATAATAACGATGTAGACACGTGATAGCACTCTGATTGATTCACTCTTACGCAGTCGTAGTCGCGAAAGATAAAGTTGAACTATCTTTTACAACACGCTTTACCGGGAATGGTAGGTTAAAACTTCGTTTTACATTTCACAAACATTTACAACTATATTTACGTAATTGTAGATCAGGTTTAAGATTCTTCAATATGATCGGTACATTTATACATTTAGAGTAACTAAGGGTAAAATCAATTTAATAATAGTTATAAAGAATTTTATAACAGTTACAACTTTTTCTGCTGAACGTAACCATATTGTCTTGCAACTCCGCAGTATAAGTATCCGTTATTAAGAAAAATATTACTGATTAACTCGAAAATTTTCTTATGAAACATAGAATATGACAAGCAAACAAATCTTTTTATTTTAATTAAATCTATAGTGGCAAGAAAAACTATCCAAGCATTATGTGGAAAAAATAGATTTGTAGTATAAATCATGCATCAAGTAATTATCTTTTTTTTATCAAAGTGCTCTACCAATTGGGTGTGACTCTTAATTATAAAAACTATTAATTTCAGAGGAAGAGTTGTAATGACGTA